GAAAATTCCTCAACTGATTAAGCTGGAAGACACCTTCAGAAATAAGAACAACATAAATCAAAATCTCAGGGACCTTGCCACCATAATTTTTTTTCCTGGGATTGGTGCCACCACAAATTTGGCTATTAACTAAAGGATTCATTTCAGTGTTGCAAAAGGCTCGCCTAGGCAGTGCCTTAAGTTCTAGGCGGGGCTCCACCATCCTGCCTAGACCCTAGGCAATAGAGTTAGGCATTTCTTCTATTTTTTGGATTTTCTGTTCTTTTTTGGCATTTTTTTGCAGAAAAATAAAAATGCCTAGTGTGCTCAGCAGCACTTAGGTGGCACCTAAGTACTGCTTAGGTGCAGTGCAGGGCAGTGTGGCCCAACACGTAAGCAATGCCTAGTGCTTTCAACAGGTTGAAAGCACATTAAGAGTGATTACATGAGTTAGATTGAATGTTTTATAAGAATTTCACTACTTGTAAAGTTTCATGAACAAAATTCCTGTGTATATACTCAACATCACTGCATAGAAAACAAGCTAATATGATTAAATTAGGAATAGCTGAATTTCTTATTAAAGAAAAAATGGATCATTACTTTACATATAGTTAAGACATTTAAGTTGCAGCCGCATGGAACCTCTTAGAATCTAGTAAGAGTTTGCAATGCTTTCTGATAAAAAGAAGTTTGCTATGCCTTTAAATGTGCTTGATTCTCTGGAATAGTGTAGGAAAGTTAAGCATTGAACTTGAACCATTCATACATCGAAAAGTTAAAATACCGAATATGGATTTAAAATTATGTTCATTCTGCATTGGATTAGCATATACTTCTTTTCTCCCTTAAAATGTAAATTCTTATTACCAATAACAAGTATAAAAAGCAGCACCAGTAATAAAGGCTGCTACCAGATCCAGTTTTTGTACAAAAGAATGAACCAAATGAAAACAAATTATCAACAGTTAGAATTCAACCTAAAGTTACGGCTTCAATTTCCTCACTGCATTGCAATCTGTCGAGACAGAGTGGGGATGCTAGATTAACATATTCTTCCATAGAAACAAATTCTTTAGACTGTGTGATCCCTAGGGAAGAAATATAACAAATACCACTTGTAAGCCACTAACATTCAAAATTTGATTATTTTTATTAATATTATCATCCTACTTCGCATGTTATGTTACAAAAATGGCATTATAAACATTACTAGCCCATGAAAATCAAAAGAACTCTATATAACCTCATCACATGAACAATTCACTACATTTCTTTTTCAAATCAAACTAATAACATATAAGTTTGGCCAAAAAAAAAAAAAGAGAAAAGAAAAACTAACAATATATAAGATTACAAGAAAAAAGAGGACAACACAACTTACTAGGAAAGCTATCTTGCCTCAAGCCTCTTCAATCTCATCTCAAGCAATCTGACATTAAACTCCCCATCACTAATCTTCAACATCTTCGACAATGGCATCTTAATCCCGTTCCGTACCAGTGCCCTGTGCCTCGGTCTGATCTTCTTTTCCAAACTAAATGAAAAATACTGCGGAAACCGCTTTAATTCCTTCAAGTCCCCCTTCATCTCCTTCAGGAAATACTCTAGCTTGGGAACCATGTTACTCTCCACACTTAATGTCAGCAACCCAGGCGACCTCACCACCATCCGTCTAACCTCCTTCTCTTCAAACCCAAGAGATTGAAGGAACTGAATCTTGGGGATCAAAGTTCTCTCCACATTAGAGACTAAGAGAACAGTGGTGTGACAATCGATATGGAGGCCAAGGGATGTGAGAAACTGCAGGGCAGGACGGAGCTGGGAGGGGACGGATGAGACGAGGAGGCGGGGGCAGCGAGAGAGAGACTGGGGAAGCTGCGGAGGAGGGAGAGAGACTTCGTGAAGGAGGAAATTGATTGGAGGGAGTGGATCGGAGGTGAGAAGGATGGGGTGCATGTCAAGAATGCGGCCAATTGAGGGGCGAGAGAGGCCAAAGGAGGCGAGAGAAGATTCGAGAGAGAGTAGGGAGGAAAGGGGTGTGGAACGGAGCGAGGGGTTAAGGTTGAGGGCTTTGCGGGTGTCAATGTTGAGGGATTGAAGGTAGAGACGCTTTTCCCGGAAGAGACGGCCGGAGTCTGTGAGTAGGGCGGTGGGCGGTTTGATAAGCGGCCGAGGGGCGAGCTGCAGACAATAGAGCATTTTCCTCATCCGACGAGGATAGATTGCAATTGTAATAACTTTATCGAAGGCGTTCCCCGCCGGTAGGGCTTGGAGCAGGCTAGTTAGCTCGCGCACTCCAAATTAAGGTCAATTCGAGTAGACGAGTTAATCTCAAATATAAAATGAAACTCGGAAAAAGGAAAAAAAAAAAAGAAAAAAAGAAAAAGAGTTATACTTCCCTGGCTTCTTAGATTTAACAGTAAAAATTAATTATATATTTATTTATTAATTTTTTTTAAAGAGAATTTAACTCATCTTT